CTTTATATTCGATTATCTCCAGAGATTCGTGATGATGAAAAAGTGGAAATCAGAAGGAAGAATGCATTCGAGTCAGGTTCTCGATATCATCTTATCCATACACTCGCACTTCTGGCGGCACCAAGAGCTCGCTACCCATGGGTCACTACAGCTATCATGTTGGGTAAGCCTTGCTTTAGATGCATATCAAATTCACAAACTGCTTTCTTTTACTTATTTGGTCTACTTGTTTTTCCCCATATGAGTGATGTCTTTCCTAATTTTCCCAGATTTTTTGCGTTTTGGAATGCGATAAATACAAGCACATGAAATGTTTAGGTGGAATTGTAATGTTCTGTGGACCCTGCTACCATTACAGCATCACAGGGCAGACAACCACTCGAAGATTCGCCCCAATCGGTGGTGTGCTTCTCATTCTTGGTTGGCTTACATTTATACTATAGATTGAAACAAATTAGTCTCCTTTTTTTGTACAGCTGTCCTAGTCACGTTGTTAATTTATAATTTTATACAATAAATAATGTGAAATGTACATGTGTAATCACAGATGATCGTCTTCTTTGTCAGATCCAGACATATACTCCTTGAGAGAATCTTCATTCGTTGTATCTCGCCTCATTACTTGTTCAATCAAACCTGCTACTTCAGCGTCCTGAATAAAATGTCATTTACTGCGTTGTTGTTTGCCTAAAACGCAGGGTGCAGCACACCCATGATTTTTCAACACAAAAGTCTGAGCATGCAGTTCGACTGTTTGGAGGGAAGCGAAGACCTCACTAGATTACTCTGGGCAAAATATGAGCATGAACTCTAGCATTGTCACAGTGTATCTTCCGCTCGGGCTTCTTACCTTGGCAACATCGATTGGCAACTTTTGATCGCGGTTTCGAACCCATGTGTTGGCACCATTCTCTAACATCAACTCTACGCATTCTCTGTGGCCTTTCCACGATGCTGCATGCAATGCAGTATCTCCGATCTTGTTCTGTAATTAATTGCGAAATTTCATAGAAAGTTAGGATGATTGCGGAGCAGCTTGCATTTTGGGCCATTGCGAAGGAGTGAATTTACTTAAACACCAACAAACAATTTCCACTCTTTGAAAAGGCAGTTTGCTATGAAGTGCAATCAATGCTTGAATCATTTATATTCAGGGATGCTCCTTACTATTGATTACCTGAGAAGAGGTCGTTATTCCGGGAAGTTGCAATAAGTACTTCACGACATCTGCATGACCGCCATGACATGCCCAGTACAACGCTGTAGAACCGGACTTGTCGAGGCTGTTGACTGACACCTATTTGAGGATCGTATTTT